GCGGGACGCAGTATTCGCGTAGGACGTCTTTCTTTGTTTTGTTGATTACGAAAAGGCCTTTGATAGAGTGCAGCACACAAAACTAATCGAGATATTACAAAAAATGGATGTAGATGGTAAAGATGTTCGCTGCATTCAAAATCTATATTGGCATCAAACTGCACATATAACAACAAACGAACTGAAAACACAAGATATAGAAATACGTAGAGGAGTGAGACAAGGATGCATCATGTCCCCACTTTTGTTTAACGTGTACTCAGAAGCCATTTTTGGCGAAGCATTCGAAGATAAGGACATCGGAATCAAAGTAAATGGAGTATATGTGAATAACATTAGGTACGCGGATGATTCTGTCTTGATTGCGGATAATATCCAAGACTTACAACAACTGATTACTCTACTAAACGACGCCAGTAAAAACTATGGACTAAACATAAATAGTAATAAAACAAAGTATATGATAATCAGTAGGGACAGGGTGCCTTATGTAAATGCGCAACTCGTCGTCGATGGAATGGCTTTGGAACGAGTCAAGAAATATAGATACTTGGGTAGTTGGCTGTATGACGATTGGGACAACGACAAAGAAATCAAAGCCAGAACAGAAATAGCCCTTAGCTATTTTCTAAAATTTAAACATATACTTACCAACAGAGACACAAGCCTGAACCTAAGACGACGATACGTCGAGTGCTATATATGGTCCGTTCTATTATATGGTATGGAAACATGGACGCTCAAAACAACATCAATTAATAGATTAGAAGCGTTTGAGATGTGGACTTACCGCCGTATGCTGAGAGTATCATGGGTCGAAAGGGTTACAAACGAGGAAATTTTGAGAAAAATGGGCAGAGACAGAGAAATTCTATTACACATAAAAAAACGAAAAACGGCCTATTTCGGACACATAATGAGGAACCCAAAATATCGGCTTCTCCAGCTAATCGTCGAGGGTAAGATAGAGGGCAAGCGTGGCGTAGGAAGGAAACAAATGTCATGGCTTAGAAACCTGAGGGAATGGACTGGCTTGAAAAATATCGGGGACCTTGTACATACAGCAATGGACAGGGTAGCATACGGAAATGTGATCGCCAACATCCAATAGTAGTGGATAGGCAGCTGAAGAAGAAGACACAAAACATATAATCTTAAGGAAAAGTATCTCCTATGAATGTGACAATTCAGAAGAAAATGAAGAAGTTAAAGAAACGGACAGGGATAAGATTCAGGAGGTAGAAAGCTCACCGAACAAAAAAGATAATGAAGAAAGCACAGAAAGATTAGATTCAGGTCGGCCAAAGAGACAAGTTAATCTACCAAAACGATATGATGATTACGATGTTTATGTTAATTTTGCAAACGTTTTAATTCCAGAAAGTTATGAAGACGCAATAAGAAGTTTAGAGGAGAGTGAAACATGGACAATATACCCGAAAATAAGAAAATTATCGAAACTAAATGGATATATAGAATTAAAACAAATGGACAATATAAAGCACGAGTAGTTGCAAAAGGATTTCAACAATTATACCAAGAAGAAGAAGATATATACGGTAGAAAAAATGTGTCCTTTAAAAGTTTTATTATCAGTAGCATGCAATCAAGGATGGCATGTAGAACAAATAGATGTGCAAAATGGAAAAATCTAATCCACCAAACGGCTACAAAGTGGAATCAAATAAAGTATGTTTATTAAAGAAAGCTCTGTATGGTCTGAGAGAAAGTCCACGAGATTGGTACGGATGCTTTCATAATTTCATGTTAAGTTTTAACTTTGTTCGCTCAAATTATGACTATTGTTCATATACGAGAAAAACTGATCAAAAATCAATATATGTAATTATGTATGTTGATGACTTACTAATTTTTAGTCAAGATTTAAATGCAATATACGAGGTTAAGAGTAAATTAAATAAACATTTTAAGATGACAGATTTAGGCAAGATAACACAGTACTTAGGTATTAAAGAGACATACAATCAACCCGAAAGGAAAATGTTTTTAGACCAGCAAAATTATATAGAAACTTTAGCGCAGAAATATAATGTTCATGAATCAAAAATTTATCACACTCCAATGGAAATGAATTTAAAATTAGAACCAGCAGAAAATCCAGAAAATCATTATAAATACAGAAACTTGATAGGATATAAGTGGAGCAACTCGACCTGATGTTTCATTTTCAGTTAATTATTTAAGTCGTTTTCAAAATAGTTACTGTTATACACACTTTAAGTATGCACTAAGAGTTTTAAAATACCTTTATTGTACCAGGTTTGTCAATTTGGCATACAGTAAAAATTCTAAAATATTAGATTCTTACGTTGACGCAGATTGGGGGCGGCAGACTTAATTGACCGTAAGTCAACAACAGGAATTTTGATTCGAGTATTTGGAAATCCTATATTGTGGAAATCTCAAAAACAAAAAATTGTATCGCGCGCATCAACTCACGCAGAATTTTATGCTTTAGCAGATTGTGTTGAAGAAATTTTGCCAATAAAAGGTATTTTGGAGGAATTAGGTTTTAAAATTAAAACTCCAATTAAAATTTATGAAGACAACACAGGAGGAATAAGTCTTGCAAAACATTCAAAACACATTGACGTAAGTTATCATTTTATTAATGATTTTTACAAAAAAGGTTTAATTGATATCGTGAAAGTAAACACTGATGATCAACTCGCAGATATACTTACAAAATCACTTGGAAAAGAAAAATTTCAAAACCTGCGCACTCAGATATCGCTAATATCAGTAAACAACAATTAAAAGTAACAAATGTGTTTGGCAATTAATGAATATCATTTTTTTTACGATATAAAATCAAGGAGGTATATTAAATTATGATTTTATATTTTAAGAGTTAAGTTAGCAATGTCTATTTTGTATTCTGTGCCTTTTGATTATGGTCTGTGTTTTTTGTTTTGACCAGAAACTAAGAGGAACGTAAGAAAAACGGAACTGTGGTGGTGCACATGTTTTAAGGAATAAAGATTTAGTTAGAAGAATTCCGTTTTTATCATTTTTTAACAGTTTGCAGTGGAATTATCCCAGAAACTTTGCATAATGTTAGGAACAAGTTTATTGGCAGGTTTATAATTTCAAAATGCACAAGATGCTGAGTTTGAACATTCAATAAAATAGTTGATAAAATGATCAAACTATTTATTTTTTAAATTTAAGCCACGGTTAAGTAATAGCAAATTATTAAAATATCTACAAGCATTCATTTAAATGTCTTGCATTAACTAAAGAATCAAATGTTTTCAAAATTGGTAGGCGAATAGAACGTGAAAAGACCTTTTAAAAGAGGTATCATATGACCCCTGTTACCATTAAAAAAAATATTGTTAATATTTTGACATTTTGAGATATTGTTTTTATGTCAAAAATTAGATATTTGAATGATATACGTACATTCCAAAATTCACCGTGCTATATAATGGGTGTTTTTTTTTCGATGTATAGAACTTTAAGTTGGCATTACTGTTCAAGATGGCGACCGATTTAACAGCTGTCAAGTGATTTATTCTCAGTTTGGTTTGGCAATTCATCATGAATAGATTCACCCCTGAACAACGCTTGCAAATAGTGCAATCTTATTTCTAAAATAATGGTTCTGTGCGGAATACGTATCGCGCACAACGTCCATTTTAACGTCGACAAAATCGTCCATCAGAGCAGTTAATTCGATTAACCATGGAACGTTTTGGCACCACTTTCACTCTTATTGATAACTCGCATCCCCAGAGACGCCGTACGGTGAGTACAGAAGAAGCTATTGCTGCTGTAGAGCGTAGCATTGAGGAAGACCCGAATGAGTCCATCCGCCATCGAGCACAGGAATTGGATCTGTGTCCATCCACTTTATGGAAGATTTTGCGGAAGGATCTTGGTTTACGTGCTTACAAAATCCAACTCGTGCAAGAATTGAAGTCAAACGATCATCAAGTAAGGCGTAGATTCGTCGAATGGGCCCAAAACGAGATTGCCGTTGTTCCCGATTTTCATAAGCGAATTTTGTTTAACGATGAAGCGCACTTCTGGTTGAATGGTCAACAAACAAAACTGCCGCACTTGGAGCGAAGCTAACCTTCAAGTGTATGTCGAAACACCGTTACATCCAGAAAAACTAACTGTTTGGTGCGCTTTATGGGCTGGTGGAATCATTGGTCCGTACTTCTTCAAAAACGATGATGGCCAGAACGTCACAGTCAATGGTGATCGGTATAGAGCTATGATTACTAACTCTTTCATTCCTGAATTGAATAACCATGATAAGGCGGCACAACATGTCACACAGCTCGTGCAACAATCGATTTATTGAAAGACACGTTTGGTGACCGCCTAATTTTACGTTTTGGACCTGTGAATTGGCCTCCAAGATCTTATGATTTAACACCGCTAGACTGCTTTCTGTGGGGCTATGTAGTCATTGGTCCATGCGGATAAGCTACAAACGCTTGACCATTTGGAAGACAACATTCGCCGTGTTATTGCCGATATACGGCCACAAATATTGGAAAAAGTCATCGAAAATTGAACGTCCAGATTGGACTTTCATATAGTCATATGCCAGAAATCATATTTAAAATGTAATGCCACAAGATTTCGGGTAAATAAAATTCATGTCAATCGAATAATCCATCGTTGTTTTATTGCAACTTAAAGTTTAATACATTTACGCGGCCACTGTATGTCAGTATTTATGATTGGAAACCCACTTTGTGTTTTTTCCTATTAACAGAATCAACTGTATCTACTGCATGTAATTATTAATACTACATTTGCCAAACTTGAACAGCCTCATTACTCAATTATGCTTCGTAGTAGCGCCTGTATGTCAAATTTATCATCACATTATGAAAGATATAAGCCGAATTTTTAACTTTGTTTGACATTTGGAGTACTATATTTAATTTAATTTAATATTATTTTCAATTTTATTTGTTTCGAGCTTTTTTTTTAAAAATTAAAGACATATTAAATACCTTTTTTGACTAATTGTTGCTTTTGGTTCCAGACGCTGCGGTCGGCGGGTCTGCTGTGATTTTCGAGCCACCCGCCGCAAACGGCCCCCCACAAATCGCCGCACGGCGACACTGACCTATTAAGATTTTCGGAAAGCTGCAAAAAAGAATAACTATGGAAGAAAAATGTTTAGGAAATATCCGCGGTGATTATACAAAATTCGCTTACTTCAATCGCATAATAGTTTTTCTTCTAATGCCCTCTGGAATGGTTTGCTTTCGAAATAGAGGCTGTCAAACTTAGATATTTTTGAAAAAACAACTTTTTTTTTACTTATGTCGATACACATTGTCCTTAAAATCACACTAGTTTAAGAATAAAAAAAAACATTATTCTGCGTCACCAATTATCCCAAAAAGAAAATTACGTGTCCAGTCTGATTGATTTTGGAAGTTTAAAGCCCTGGAATATTCCATAAAATATATATAAAATATAAAATTATCAATTTTATACTTGCATTGTTGCGATGTTTAAAAATTTAGAAATCAGCAACGCTCGAGAAATAACAACGCTTATAGCTAGAAGCATTTAACGTTAATTATAAGCCATATAAATATGCTACCTACCATATTAAAAGCTTTTTCTTTTTCATTAAAACAGTGAAATTGTATTCAGTTAATTAAGCCCTTGATAAAACTAATAAGCCCTAAAAAAAATAAAATTTACGAGAAATAAGGGTTACTTAATAAGAATAGCAACTTATTTTTGAACTTAAATAAAGTTTAAAATTAACTAATTTACCCAATCCGCAAAATAACATGCGGACCCAATCGACTTCCCAGTTTTAACGTTTCTTAAAACATTTAGAACTGCGAACTGCTTTAACGATGCTAATAAAATGGGTGATTAAGTCGCTAACTGGAGTTTTGGGATGCATTTAGATACCCCGAAAATAAATTCTGTTTCTTAAGTAAGACTTTTCCTATATACCGAAATATAAATCCAAAAGTATTATCGTATTGAAGGTCAATTCAATATCCAACATAAAACACATACATACATTCTACTGTTAACCCGAAATGCACTGGCTTTATAGTGCAATTATACCTAAAACGTTCGTATGTACTGGGCCCCAATACCAAACCCGAAAAAATATGAAGAAATTTTTCAAGCTTATTTTTTTTGCATTTGGTGTTTGACGTTGCTTGAATTTCAACAAAACGCCAAAAACGACATCACGACACAAAAATGAAACCACAGATAAAAAAAAAAAACACGCAACGTCAAATATATATTTACCTGCCATACACGCATTTCCCTAAAATTAGTTTAAATAATGGCAGGTACGCAAATTTGTATGCAATTTTTCTATAAATTACGGTAATAATAAAGGCTAGGCAAATATAACGAATGACTGCGTTGTCTGGTAGAATTTTTAAATCTCTAAAATCTCAACGGAATATTATTTATTTAAGCTCGGACCAAAAATAACTAAACTCGAGTGCTTCATTTATATAAAACACAAGTACTACAAATCTCACTGTTGAAGAAGCAATTTCCAGTGTATAATGTAATATCCCTTTCGTGTTTTTTTCTTTTTTATACCCAACAACCTTACGTTTCTTAAAACAGAGTAGGTTTCGTTCCCAGACACCTAATATTGCTAAGGCACCCTAACATAGGTCACAACGCTTGGCAGCTGCCTTCAATCTTAGAGGACCACTTGGTGCCTTTGATACTGCCTAGCTGTCTGAACATGTGCACATCAGCATATTCTAGCACAGATCTCGAAAGCATGCACTGTCGCCTGGAAGATCGTGTCGGTATACCAAGTAGGTTTAAGTTTAAAGTAGTCAAATTCTGCGTCGCATTTACAAATCTCGTTTGACTACTTAATTCTGGCGTTTCTACTATTAGACAGGCGAAGAGCCAGTTCATTTTCAAACCCACCCGGTTATATATGTATATTGTATGTTTGTTTTGCTTTCCAACACGAATGTGATATTATGCGGCATATGTGCGCGGAAAATTGAAAACTATTTTCCTACGCCGCCATCCTAAAAGTAAAACTGGCTAAAACAAAATCGTCTGAATGTTGTTTATTATAGCATATGCAGTCTCAAATAAGGTTCGAAAAACGCAACAGAAAGTTGGAAACGAAAACGCAATTGCTGCTTGTGTAAATTTTTAACGAAATCGCGAACATACTCAAAAGCTTGGAGATCTCACCTATTAAGAAACTGTTGAACTGTATGCAATTGAATATCAAAAATGTTGGGACATTTTGTTAACAAGCATCGTACTAATCCATACTAGTAAGTTTTTTTTTCAAAATGGACTACTGGTAAGAACTGGTATAAGAACTTTACACCACAGGTAAATCTGTAATTTCTAATAAATTAAGTGTGGAGTCCCTATTAGATTATGGTATACTGGTATGATGAGGACGACACTGTCATCTAGACCATTTAAATGTAACATCCAAGGCTACATCCAACGAATCTTTTGTATATTTGAATTTAGAAGTTTGTATATAATAACTGCATGTAATTTACTCCATACAAATGAAAAACTAACAATTTTATTTGTCATAATTACAACACTAGAAGAAATTTAAATAATTTGTTTAATACTACATATTGCGCAAACAGTTAGGGAAAACATTTTGTATCATATATCGGCCCCAAATTGGATAATTTATGTAACATTAAAGAAAAAAAATGACGTACAAAATTGTTTAATAGTTATTTCGGATTGAATAAACTAATGTGTGGGTGTCTGTCTTCTGAATTATGGCTAAGTTAAACTCTTGTCAGTGAACTAATTACACTTTTCAAGTTATCTTATAGTTCTCGATATTAGTGTTTGGAGTACCTTACTTTTCTTTGTTTTTTGTTATATTTTTAATATAATGTATTGTTTTCTTCTTTTTTTTTTTCGATAGGGTTTCAATGTTTTCATTGGTGGGCGTCTGTCTTCTGAATTATGGCTAAGTTAAACTCTTGTCAGTGAACTAATTACACTTTTCAAGTTATCTTATAGTTCTCGATATTAGTATTTGGAGTACCTTACTTTTCTTTGTTTTTTGTTATATTTTTATTATAATGTATTGTTTTCTTCTCTTTTTTTCGATAGGGTTTCAATGTTTTCAAACCTTTTATTGCGGCCTGATTATTCCTTATTGTTATTAAAACTAATATCACGAGAGTAATCTGAACAATTAGGCACATACAGGTACATACCTAGGTGCCGGATTGGTCATAACGATGCGACGTTATAAATATAATATTATATTATATTATGATTATAAATATTTCAAAAAAACACCTCAGAGTTTACATACAGCATATTCGTATTTCGATTTTTTGAAGTGATTTAATAAAACATATAGACAATTACTTAAGTAAGAAAAAAAAAAGATAATTATTCTCTGCATGCTGTCATTTTAACGATATTATGACCATGCTGAGAAGAGCTTTTTTTTAAGCGAAAACCGTATATCGGATTGAAAAAAATCAAGAAATAATTTTTTTTTGGAAATGAATGGAGATTGTAAAAATAATTTTTATTTTAAGAGACAAAATAAAAATGTGAAATTCCGTACGCCCCCCACTGGCGTATTTAAAAAAAAAATTGGTACACTAAATAATGCCTCTTGATAACATACATATGTGCCAAATTTCATTAAAATATTAAAGGTATTAAAACAGTATATTTTATTGTTGAAAACTTTAGCACCCTGTATCTCAAAATTAAAGACGTTTAAGTATATTCATATGACATTTTCTTTTTAAAATGGTTCAAAAAATCGAGCTCTTAGTTATTGACATTCGATTAGAAAACACCCTGTATAGTCAAATGCATTCCTAGGAGTTTAGTGCCAAAGTAATGATGTCCTAGAAGGGGTTCTCTAAACTCTTGCCAATTTGACGAAATTTACACTAATTTTTCTCTTATTTTTGAATGAACCACCCTTATATAACCACATTACCGTGTTCAGCTATTGTCCCACTACTATTTTTGTTATGGTTTTGGTTTGTCCGATTGATTTTTTTCTGAAGTATTGATTGTTATTCATTAAATTTCACTTCACTAAAATTTTATTAATGACTTTGGTCATATTAAGGTCCGTTTTTATTATTACAAATACAGCGGATTAACAGGTATAGGAGATTATAAAAAAAAAGTTTTTTTAATTTTCTCCATTAGGTTGGCAACACTCCCATTAAAATTCAAAAACGGTGTCATTTTAATATTTCTCGATGTTCGATCTATATTGCCACGTTTTCATCAAGCATCCTGTTTATTTAATTTTTTCCAAGGTAAGGGAAATATAGATGCTTTGCTACTTTTCCATAGTGAAGTTTTTTTTTGACAATTTGTTTTCCAAGTACTTGGTAGTACCGCCCGACATTGGGCATATTGATTTATAGATGCGACACAGAATTCGTGCGATGCTTGTATGTAAATAGAAATTAAGGCAATATTTAATTTAATTTAACTTAACTACTACACTTATACTATTATTTCTTATCATCGTAGCTACTTTTTTTCAAAAAGGTTGTTATGAATTTGTTAACAGACAATTTTGTTAAAAATTATTAAGTAGGTAGTGTTTTTTTTTTAATAATTCTATATATTGTGAAGGACAGTAGTTGGTAATCAAAAGCTAGATACTTTCTTTTTGGTAGATATTTTATTTTTCACAACTTAACCAGTGCAGTGGCAACCTAATCAACCAAAATATTATTTGTTCATAGACAGTCAGTGGCACGCCACTGATTTATTTTTAAAAAAATGCCTTCATTTATGAGCAGATTTGATCTCTTCAATTTTTTTAGTCCGTCGCAAGGATTTCATTTAAAAAGAAAAACTAATTTCTCTGCATGGTGTCACTTAAAGATATTTTTATGACCATGCAGAGAAGAGGTTTTTATTTTTTAACCGAAAACCGAAATAAAAAAAATCACGAAATTAAACTTCTTTAGAAATGATTGGACACTGTAAGAATAATTTTTATTTTAAGAGAAATCAGTGGCGTACTATCAATATGTGCCAAAATAGACAGGTGCACACCCGCCCTTGGTGTATTTAAAAAAAATTGTGGTAAAGTCTGTTCATAGATATAAGAATGTGACTAACCGATACGAATTAAGGAAAGACACGGGCAAGCTGTAAGAATGAAATATGGCCGAACAGGTCCGTACTTTGCTTAGAATTTAATTATTTGGGGTTTTGTTAGGAAAGATACTAAACAATATTTATTTATTTATATATGTATTTATGTTTAAATATAAAATAAAATTACAAATTATTTGAATTACCTACTTAAATTACTTAAAATTGTTCGCATAATAGATCAGTATCATTATCGCTATCATCGCCTGTTCTAATTATTATTTGTTCTATATTATTTGCAATATGGATATACGATTGTTCTACTTTTTCTATATGTTTAACAGAATTTGCCCAACTTTGTGGAGGGATGTTAAAAACTTCGGTTTCTATAAACTTGAGGACATTGGAGTTAACACGGGGAAAAACATTGTTACGACGAATGCCAGATTTCAGTTGGTGCCAAACATGTTCAATGGGATTAAATATACAGTGGTAAGGTATTCCTTTTGTAGGTTCAAACTTTGTACAACCTCAATTAATTGCTTTTTGGTATAATCTTTGTGAAAATAAATGTCGTTATTATACATGTAGTTTTGGATTGTTGCTTTTGTGTCACATGAGGAAGGGGTTTTAGTCAACTGTCTACTGTGATAACTTGCATTGTCCATTACAATGACGATATTAGGAGGAATGCTTGGAATTAGTTTGTTTTTAAACCAACTTTCAAATAAATCAGCGGTGGTGTCTTCATGGTAATCCAGAGAAGAATCTTTAATATTTTTCGCAGACAGAGAAAGTCCATTTGGAATCCAACCATATTTAGAGCCAGCATGCCAAATACTTATTCTTTTACATCTTTTTGATGGCGCGTTTGTTTTACACTTATCATTTGAGTCAACCCAACCCTTTTCCGGGGTATCATAAGTGTCGAACCAGGTTTCATCCAAGTAAATAATTGGCCTTTGTTGTTCTCTGTAAATCCTAATGTTTTCTAGATATTAAAGTCGCCATTTGCGAATTCTAAAAGATTCCATTAAAACTTGCCTTTTGTCAATTTTTTTAAATCTAAAACTCATGTGTTGAATACACTTCCATAAGTTAGTTCTGCCACATTTAACACGGGTTTCATCTTTTTCAAACCTCCTAATTAAGATATCTATTATAGGCACGCTTTGTTCCTCGTATAACTGGTAAATTTTACGCCGTATTATATCTAGATCACTTTCATCTACACTTGAGAAAATGTCAGCATCGTTTCTTTTTTTCCTCGCTGAAATGGGATTATTCACAATTTTCTATACAGATTATGTTGAAATTTTCGTCAATGAGGTCGTTTCTTCTAAAGATGCTTGCTTGCTGGCACCACGTTCAATGAGAGTCAAATAAACACTGTTTATAGCTTCCTTAGTCTCAATAGAATAGTGTTTTCTACATTTGGGCGGGAGTGTCTCCTGAGATACACTAAACTCGCGCATATTTTGCATAATTCACACAGGATTCAACACACGCTGTATTACACACGAAATAAGAATGGTTACTAATAAAATTAAACTAAGTTGTATACCAAAGCAAAGAATATTAAACACAGGTAGGTATAAAATTATTTTCTATTGCGGACCATCAATTTTATCTGAATTTAAATTCTGAAACTTTAAGTAATAATCTTGTTGCATTGTATGTTAATGACCACCCTTGGATAATCCCATTCAAACGCAATTGGTCACTTTCTTATATCTATGAACAGACCATACACTAAATAATGCCTCTTGATACATCGCACATGTAGTGCATGTGTGGTGGGATATAACTGATATTAAAAAAATATATTTTATTTTTGAAAACTTTACCACTATGTATGTATATATAGAATGCCACAATTTTTTTTAAATACACCAGTGGTGGTCGTATGAAATTTCGATTAAAAAAATAAAAATCTCTTCTCTGCATGGTCATAATATCGATAATATGGCAACACGCAGAGAGTTGCCATTATTATTTCTTACTGAAGTAATTGCCTACCTGTTTTATTAAAATACTTCCAAAAATCGAAGTATGCATAGAAAGTACGCAAACTCTGAGGTGCATTTTTGAAATCTTTATAATTATTTCTTATAAATGTAGTAGGCTGTGTGTATTTTTGAAAACTTTACGACTCTGTATCTCAAAAGTTAACACGTTTTCTTGGATGATAAGAGATAATAGTTTTGGTTGGTTTGCAAAAATTCTAAAATATGTAGCATGTTAATATCTTTTAATTGCCAAGCTTTTACGTTAATGTTTATCTTTTGATTCTATGTAACATCTAAGAAAACATTTTTTAAAACAATGATAAACAAGGACATACTAGTGCACCACCCTGTATATTACAAGTTCTCTATATTCCCTTTCATGTCTAACAGCTTTGTAAATTGTAATAAAAAACGAATAGGGTGAAAAAATTACCTGAACCGAGGCCCTCAAACATGCCGGCTCCCTGCATATTGGATACTGAAAGCTGTGGGGTACCCTGGGCCAGGCGGCAGCCAACGCGATCACCACGATCACCAAAAGTATGCTCAATAGCACTACACCCCCGGCCACGAAGACACCCCGTCGCGATAGTCCGGTCCTGTCTTGTATCTGACTCACGTATCGTTCGAAAGTCTCCGATTTCCTGGTTTTCGTTACCGGATTATCCAGGCACGGGTCCGATTCAGTGGCGTCCGGGACACGATTATTGGACTTTAGCTCGGTACCACTTTCGAGGGCGCCGTTCTGGGTACCGTTCGTGTCGGGCATAGTTCTGGCACTAAACGGTCACATTAAGGGTAACGCGGGATGGGTTACATCGAAATACACATACGGAATTGGGGTCTGCAAAAAAAATATATATACATCTGAAATTAGCAAATAGCATTAAAAAAATAGTAAAAATGTTTTCTAAAAATGATGGTGGTGGTCCGTTTCAGTAATAACGTTGCGTATTGTTAAAAAGTACTAGACATCTGCTGACTAGTTGAAAAATTTTTGGATATTCTAGATAACTAAAATTCTGGAACTAAATAAATCTGCAACAGATCAAGTTGAAGAAAAAGAGAAAGAAAAGTACCATAATAACTTGTAATAGAACTAAAGATAAATTTCATTTTTTTCTATTAATATTAAATATAAATATATATAAATTAAGATAGGTCGTAAAGAAAAATGGATGAGTACTTAAATTAGTACAAAAGACCTTTGATGTGTCAAATAAAGGAGATGAGCTGTTTAATTTATTCAAAAATACATGTCCCCGAAAAGTAATAAATTCAATGAAAATGGTTACAACTCCCTCTTATAAATCCAGATTATGTATACCCAATAAATAATTCATGAGTTTTTTTTTCTCCTTTCAAGATAGGCGTTTATATTTTATTATTACGTATTGTTAATACATAAAACTCAGAAAGTGAATGGCAAATTTTGCCTAATATCAGTTTGAGGTTAGAATTCTCAAAAAAATTTATAACCGAGTGAAGCTTTAGTTTTATTGATATCTATAAATGTTAAACAAGCAGAAAACAAGTTAATGACATTTTCAAATTTAATTTCCAATTTAGATAAATAATAAAAAAAAATATTGACTACAATTCCAATGTTTCCATTCGATTAAGTTAAGTTAAAAACAAAACGAGGATTATCTTTTTATTTTTATTTATATGTTTATAACAAGATTTGTAAAACACGCGACACTTGTAACAATATTTGATAAGCCGGTCCCTATAAAAGTTAAGTCTGATAGATGAGGGATAGACAATTTAAAAATTCTCTCGATCTTTTTAGTGCTGTTAAACTTTTGTTGTTGTTTTCTCAAACATACAGGGCGCATATTGGTGTATTAAAAATAATGAAGAGCCTAATACCCCGGTTTAATGAGCCCCTTTGCAAACACCCATATGAAAAGTCAAAGTTGATCAAAGCAAGAAATGAACAAATAAAAACATTCGGATTTATATATACAGGTAAATTTAAGTATAATTTTTGATCTGACTTCTTGTTTCCTAAATTTTGTCGAACGTTTCAATAAATTTCTAAATCGCTGCAATCGACTTAAAATTCTCGTACAACAGATATTAATTCTAAAGATAAGAGATATATCGTAAGTACCCCTGACAACGTGTATTGTACCTACTTGTATGTACGTTGTAAACTAGATGGATGTTTCCTTTGCAACGTCGCGAATTTTTACGAAAACATGACCTAAATCACAACCTATTGACACTAACAAACCGCGTTTGGGACAAAAAATAACAACGCGTGTTTAGCCAACGGCTTTCACAAATTCAAAATGTGCCGGAGCGCCCAACGAACCGAAAAATATCCGAAAATAGACGCGTCTGTTTTAGTTATGATTTTGAAACGCTTTTAAGCCACTTATTGTCCTTATCGCGATCTAGATTTTAGTCCGGGGATTATTATTATTATTTATGCAACTTCAATCATGCCAGTTTGAGATACCTACGCAGGTTCCCCGCAGGTCCCCCAACCTCATGTAGATTAGTTTCAACTGGTAATAAAATTCCAGCTTGTATTGTTTTACCGAATTCGAATATTTATTAACTTAATGAAAACCGAAAAACTAAAATATGGTTCTTATTAATAGGAAAATGTCCACAAAATTTCAGGACTAATTTGTTCTTGTGGGTGAAACACTACAAAATTCTTCGAGAACTACAAAATATTAAAAAAATTACGTCATATCAGAACAGTCCGTGACCTCGTAAGAACAACCATTACAATCTGTATCGATAGGTTCCTATTTGCAATATATTCTATGGCCTGATATTCCGGAAAAGTTCGTCATAGTCTATGCCTTATCTGGTAGAATAAAATACGATCTACATTGTGAGCAAACATTAGGGCTTAGTCGGTGATAGTCCATTATAGTAAGTGTTTTGTTTATCAATATTCTTGGCGTGCACTAAACCTGTTATAACGAGATACATAACTTTTTTAAATCAAAATGTTAATAAAAATCCATATCTATGGAAAATAAAAACAAGGGAAAGTTTTCAACCCTGCGGGCCTGGTTGGGCAATTAATCTAAATATTTAAACAAATTGTTTCCTAACTGTATCTTAACTGGTGCTTTAATATAAATCGGCAACTGTAGTGTTCTCAATTCAGATCTATTGATTTTGTAAACAGAAAAGAAATCAATCCGAAATAAAAACATTATTATGTCAACTGATGCATGTATACCAAAGAATAGTTATAAAATTACGAAACGGCAAACGTAAACAAGATATATAACCTAAACCGACATAATAACATTGTCATTACCCATATAAAACACCAAAAAACATTGGAACACCTGTTGATTTCGAGTAAACAAAATTTTTCACTGGTGGGGGAATTTAAAATCGCCAAAGAAATTATAAATACTGGCTTACCTGTCCGATTTCGCTGATTTGAGCACAACTTTCCAATTCGCAAAGGTAAGCGGAATTGGTACATATGACAAATCACATGTTAAACACCGGAGGACACTCCGACGTCATTATTTTCGTAAAATTTACTTTTATTTCCTTATTTAAAAAAAATAATTAGAAGGCAAAATAAAATGTCTATTAAAAAATCTTTTGCCGGCTGTCGCCGTACACTTTAATGTTGATGCACTTTTACTTGGTGCCGTTGGTTTTTGTTTTGTTGAGCTACTGTTTGGATCCTTAGAACGAGTTCTTCCGGCTAAAGACTGGTTTACACAGAGCCGAAATTGCTGACGCGCCTCTGATAATCGCGCTCAGCTGGAACCTTTGGCAAGCATTTTTAAATGTTGAATATTAAACTTATAACTACGCATAGGTACCAAATGGTATAAAGTTGGAATTTGCAAACCTATTATAATAGCCAACAAATTAATATACATATTATTTATTCCAAAAAAAAAGCCAGAATGGCATGCCAATGTTTAATACTGTTTATTATGACTTTTATACTTGTGTATGTGTGCATTAGACCAAGAAATTGTTCCGCTACGTAATTCTAAGAAAGGAAGTTCAAATTACCTCTCGCGTGTTATGCAACCAAACATTTACGATTCATCTGGTTATTAATTTGGCTTTATTAAAAAACAATTCTACTGATTTTTTTACGTTATTGAGATGCAATTATGAGTTGCAAATTACCTCTTGTGTGTCAGGCAACCACACATTCACTATCGCTTCGATTATAAATTTGGCTTTATTAAAAAACAATTCCACGGATTTTTCAACATTACTCAGATGCAATTGTGGTTTGCATTAAAATATTTTTTCAAATTTTTCCACATATTTATAACACTTGTGTTTGTGTACATCAGTCCAAGAGAGTAAATTGTTCCGCTCCCTGAATTCTACGAAAGGAAGCTTAAATTACCTCTCGCATGTTATGCAACCACACATTCACTATCCGTCACGTTATTAATTTTGGTTTACTAAAAAACAATTCCATAGATTTTTCAATGTTACTCAGAAGTAATTAGGAGTTGCATAAACTGATATTTTTGGGAATTATTCCTTATATTTATAACAATTATGTCTATGTAAATTGTTCAGCTACCTTAATTCTACAAAACGAAATTCAAATTATCTTTTACCAGTTTATGTAATTGCGGGTTGCATAAATTTATTCTTTTTGCTGTTTTTCCATATATTGTATTGTATTGTTCTGCAAAGCCGTCCATTTAATTTCTAATCGAACTACATGTAGTCATTTGGTGTTTTCAAAAATAATAATTACAAACAAAAAAAAACAGAAACCAAAAAAAAGGAAATTTAATAATCTTGCAGTGTAAAAATAATGCAGCTGATATTACCAGGGTCACAAAAGGGTGAACAAAATTAAACCAATTTACAAAATATTTTGCAACCTAGCCTAATAGTTGTTTTTGACCTACACTTTACAAAAATGACAAAGTTGAAGGCTTTTGCTATAAAGAGCACATTAATCTTCGTACACCCACGGTTCTGTTGCTGGTCTCCAGTTTACCAGTTCCTTTTCATTGAACCACAGAGCGATCTCTTTTTTAGCTGACTCCACTGCGTCAGAACCATGGATGATGTTACGCCCAACCTGCAATATGATAAAACCTTATTGTTTACACTCTCCTTATACACACTGTTGCCATAAAATGTCTTAGACCTTTATCAGTGAAAAATCGTCAACAAGAAACTTCAGGTTTCAAATGTCTTAAGCATCATGTGAAAATTCAATAAACTAATTACTACATCCTCTAAAACATACTTGAACACAAAGATCGCCACGAATAGTGCCGGGCGCGCTGTCGGCTGGGTTGGTAGCACCTAGCAAAACCCTGCCAGTCTTTACAACATCCAAACCTTCCCAAACCATAGGCACAACTGGTCCGGAGCTCATGTATTTCACTAAACCAGGGAAAAAAGGCCTTCCAGCTAAATCTGCATAGTGTTGCTTCAGCAGCTCTTCAGAAGGCTACGAAACGTTAAAAAAAATAAATATTTTCACCCAATCAAGATGCCATGTCGCAGCCGGCTAGGATATGATATTTATAGGTTATGCAGCCATGTTTTTTTGAATATAAAATTTTCGTAATTCTTGACATACCCAAACGAATTTGAGAGCGACCAGCTTGAATCCTTTCTGTTCGAATTTCTTGATGATTTTGCCAACCAGGCCCCTTTGCACTCCGTCAGGTTTGACCATAATGAATGTCCTTTCGCGTGCTTCAGCCATCGCTCTCGAAAATAAAGAAAAAAATGCCAAAAGGGTACAAATCATACACCAAACCCCACGCAAATGAAAGGATCGATTAAAAACAGAACTGCACTGTAAAAATAGAACCCCGCCGACGTCAGCAACCACGAGATCGAAGTTCAAAAAGAAAAGGAAATGTTATAGAACCATTCGATCAAGCTAATCGCGTGCACTGCAAAGAAAAGAAATTGGCCTGTTAACGAACATGCTGCCAGCACATGTTCCTACGGGACAAGTAGGACAAAGAACGCCAATCACAATTTTTTGCCCAATGAGAAAATATAATTTTCTCCAAAATAAGTTATTCTTTTGTAAAACGATATCAGAAAACGATTGGACTTCACAATCCAGTGAAAAAATTGTACTCGAAGTATACAACCAATTATACGCTAGCCTAGTCTCACTTCTAACAAAAAAAAATATTTTGTTCAGGTGCAAACTTTGTTCATATTTTGAGGTGTGTTTTAATCAATTTTGTTAACGATTTTAAAATTTTTTCTAAAAAAATCATTCGGTTTATCTATTAGCACTTTTGTGAAGAAATATATTTTCAAAAGTGAGCTTATTATTAAAGATTACGGCGCTGTTAATTTTTTAGTGGCAGCGGCAGCTCATTTTTTTTATAAATACGTATGAAGCAGATATGTTAACTCCAAAAAAGTCTGAGTATTAGTTTATTAACTTTTATCACAGCGGCTGCTGCGTTTGAATTGTACTTTAGTTTCATACTGGTCATAATTTATTTTAAATCAAACGATGAGTTCTAAATTCTTACGTATTTATTTATACTCACCAAATAACCTATTAATACATATACATATATATTACAGAATCAAAGTCATGACTAAATTTAATAAATTTATAGATTTTGTTACCTGAAACACAATAAAAACGTTGTTTATTAGCCAAGATGAAATTTAAGTTCACTAAAAGCTGCACCGATCTAAACATTGTTGAATAAAAAGTGTTCAATTGAAAGCGAATAGCCGCGAACTTTGGAATTTACCACAACAAAGTCAAAGAACAGGCGATGTAAACCAATTTGCGGTCATATCGCTTTATTTATAACTTCGTACCCAATAAACACGATTAATTCAAATTTTAAATTTATAAACATATACAAATGTCCGACTTAAAAACAAAGATAATATTAATGTGGTGGCTAATATTTCTACAGATAACAAATTTTTTAACGTGATAATCGATGCCTTCGTGGGATTGCTATTTTTATGATTTGAAATATGAAAAATTGCGTGTTAGTCTTTTTCTAGTTTGTAAAAATTTCCATATAAATAAATTTTTTAAGCTATCGCAGATTATATGGCTTGCTATAAAATCGCAAAACGAAAAATTTCCAAATCAATCCAGCGGAAAATTCCCACAGTTTGACCAATGAAAACGGGTTATTTTGACAGATGCAGTTTCCGACAGTCCGTCTCTTTCTAATCCCCCCTTCTGTTTCGCCATTTATTATCACTTCCACTCTTCTACATCGATCCGTGTCGGTAACGTAGAGGTGAATTGTGTTCATCCTTTGTTGTAAATTTTGCGTTTTCAACCATTGACGGTTTATTTTAATATGCAGGGCCAATCGGTCTCTGTAAATAGTCAAAATCAAATCAACGGAACCCTACCTCTCGGCACACAAGTCATCCTGAAAATGAACGACGCGATTCCCATGAATTCGGTCGGTAAGTTGTCGGTAAAATGGCTTATTTTTAGACAAATCGTTTGGCTGTTGTTGCATTTTTTCGCCCCTTAGTTGTATCGGAATGGTCTTGGATATCCGGTAATATTTCGATACACCATTTTGCTCCTTGACATGGCGATCCCATAATATTGTTAGCCACCATACTTTTCCTTTGACCCAGGCAACACTAAGGTTATCTACTATGTGTTCACCGCTATGTCAAATGCAAGACATTTCAATTTTTACTTGCTAAGACAGTAGAGTGAAAGCTTTAACATCTATTTGGTATTCCCTACAAATTGCTATTCTAAACTTAGGCTTGTTGGAGCTGGCACATCGCGAATATCAAGCAGGAGATTATGAGAACGCCGAGAGACATTGCATGCAACTATGGAGACAAGATCAGACAAATACCGGGGTGCTGTTGCTGCTATCCAGTATTCATTTCCAGTGTCGAAGGTTGGAGAAGTCAGCACATTTCAGCACATTGGCCATTAAACAAAATCCCTTGTTGGCTGAAGCTTACAGGTAAAGCAAAAATTTTTTTAGTTTGTTAATTATATTTAGAGGATGCTGGTTCTTTGCAGCAATCTTGGTAATGTGTTCAAAGAACGCAACCAGTTGCAGGAAGCGTTGGACAATTATAGACATGCTGTTAGGTTAAAGCCAGATTTTATTGATGGGTACATCAATTTGGCCGCTGCCCTGGTAGCGGCTGGTGATATGGAGCAAGCTGTTCAAGCCTACATCACAGCTTTACAATACAACCCAGTAAGTGGTATTATTTTTTATTACATAATTCCTCTGCCAGTATTCCGTCCTTCCTTCCTTCCAGAAATTCCTTATTACCTTATTACTATATTTAATTGATGAATTTGAAACTAGGACTTCACAATACTACAATTGTCATCGAATAGAAAATCATAATGTAATATAATGATAAATCTTGAATCGCAATCATGGCACCAGTAATGGCAAAATAAAAATTTACTTATTAATAGCTCATTCTTTAAAAATATGTTAATTTTGGCACATGAAAATCATTAATAATGTCAGTGCAAGGGTTTTAGTTATATCAACGCAAAGTAAAAAAAAACAAAACTTAATAACTTTCATACTGATAGTAATATATCCAAAAGTAGCTAAAAAATATACCAAAAACCGTACCAATTTTTCTGGATATATATATGTACAGCTTTTTGAAAAATATATTACATGTATCTACTTTTGTTTTTCCTTTATTGGTTTGTTGGATAAATTTTTAAACCCATAAAAAATTAGGTTGGTTATAAATAACACTAAATTAGCAAGTCAACGCAGTGTTGGTTTTATTGTCAAGGTGAAATGTTGTGGCGGAAAGTTTGGAAAGCCTTCCGTTTTGCTGTAATCAATTGTTAATGGTTGTTGAAAAACAATTGTTCACTATTTTTGCGCAGTAACATCTAATGCTTTCATTTTTCCGCGACATTTCCTTATTGTTGAATTAATTCTTGGTTTGGTTTTTACCCGCCAACAGTTCTGGGAATGTTTTTTTTGACATTTGACAGGTGCCTTAATTTTTTCTATTTCGGAGAAAAACAACAAACAGAAATATGTCTTAGATATTTTTTTTGGATGATGTCATAAGAAAGTAAATAGAAAGGCCAAGTTCCAAACAAAGGAACAAGTTTGGTTGCCTACTTTTTGGGGTTAGAAATTTACGTTATTCTACTTATTAAAAGACCTGCTCTTGTATTTTTGTTTTAAGTGACAATTATTTTATCACAGATGGAATATTTTCACATTGCTTAACGCAAAAATTGTATTTACGAGACTAGAGTTTAGCCACGTCTGTTTTTTAGGTCCCCAAATAACTAGTAAAGAAAATTCAACGATTTTTGTATTCCCATTAGTGTTTTCAATAGATTAGCCAAAATATACCGCAGACCAATTTAAAAGTAGCCATCTTATTCTTAGTTTCATTAAAATATTTATTCTTTGTAAGGAGTTATGCATGGTCTAAAACTTGAAATAGAACCATCAGATATAAAATTTCTTGAATCATATCCAATATTCAGTGTGAGTTTAAAAAAAGGCAAGTTTGGTTTATAACGATATTGCATTTTTCGGAAAAAATGGGAATTAACAAATTTCAAAATTACCTTGCATCTCAAAAACGTCACAGTCAACATAAACAAAATCGACAGATCAATAGACTTTTCGGGATTCTCATAGATAAAAGATATGAATAGTTTTTCTTGCGCAATTTAAACAAACTGCTTCTACTGTGCTGCTCACGTGACTGGAGTGAAAACTAAACTTAACCGCCAAAATATGAATTTGCGGGAGTCGTCACAGGTTTACTTATTTTGTTTATATATCTTAAAACTTTGCACATACTTATGAAAACGCATTTTGTTGATATACTTCTATGTAATGTATGTAATAAAATTACCATTATTTTCAACAGTTATGATTTAAGTTATTTTGGATTCTAATGTGGTCGTTTTCTTGTATATAGCGGTCAGCAAAAGAAATTTATCGTCTAGATTCATGTATTAATGTAATTAAATAACATAGTTTCAGCAAACGGTCCAAAGCATATTGCCAATGTTTTAATGCATACTAAACTTTTGCTGCTGCAATTAGTTTTTGGATACATTTTTGCAAAGTAGCACGAATATACTCACTAAAATCGAAAACAATCAATCTATCGCTCTCTAACCCGTGACAAAAATACCGAGGGCGTCTGAAGTAGCCGGACTGACGTATTAAAGTGACATTTCAAAATGTTACAGTCATTTGCGCGGCATTTCTTTATTGTTTTTATTTTTGGTTAGATTTTGTTTCGAACATTGTTTTTATTGGTTTCTACTCGCCAACAGTTCTGGGGATGGATTTTTTTTGACAAGTGTTTGGATCATCTCAGATTACCTAAAGCCGTTACTTGCAATTTTTCCTATTTCGGAGTAAAACAACAAACAAAAATGAATCTTAGATATTTTTTTGGTGATGATGTTAAAGAAAGTAAATAGAAAGGCTAAATTACAAACGCAGGAACAAGTTCGGTTGCCTATCTCTTTGAGGTTAGAAATTCGTCGTTCCACTTATTAAAAGACCTTTTGTTTTAAGCAACGATTATTTTATCATAGATGGAACTACTTTTTCTGCTACTATTAGTTCTTGGGTACATTTTTGCAAAGTAGGACGAATACATTCACTAAAATCGAAAACAATCGATTGCATCTTGAATAACGTAACTGACGTCTTAAAGTAACACTTCAAAATGTTGTTACTGTCATTTGTTGCGACGCTAGCGAGAAGCGGCTGTAGCACACACTACAATACATTCGTTCTTCTTCTATTATCTTTGGAGATCAGACTCAATTTTGTTGTGTTAAAAATACATCGATAACATCATTTAGAAAGGGAAGGGGGTTGTATCACACACAAAACAACAATGTTGTTTTTTAAAAACAAAAAACTGAAGTTCTTTGCGATTGAACTTGAAAAAATTTTGTATGCACATCGAAAATTATTATATCATCAATACAATGACAAAAAATTTATTTTTATTTATTTATTTACAATATCTTACACATTGTTATAATATTATATTTGACAATATAGACGAATTCGTATCTATGGATAACTCTCATCCCTTGCCCCTCTATTTAACTTCCTACACAGTGCTTTTTTTGCAGGATCTCTACTGTGTTCGTAGCGATTTGGGTAACCTACTCAAAGCTTTAGGGCGTTTAGACGAAGCCAAGGTAAGTGTCGCTCGTAGGCGCTCGTCACCCGACACCAGTTACCCCCCGCAATCACCCGCATCCTCGCAATAGAAACATTTTTTTTGAACGGGTTTTAAAAAACATGTTTCCGATCCGATAAATGCAAGGGTTTCCGAATTAATCGTATTGGTTAGTATTTGGTTGGTATTTCGCGCAGTAAAAACAAATTTTGGCGCTTGGCGTAAAACCTTGGCGTAATCGTTTATTAGTTTGGTTCGTAGTGCGTAATTTTTGGGCTTCTCGGCAGAGACTTCGACGGCGCCTTGGCGTAAATTTTAACACGGTTAACAGTCTCTTTCAGGTGCGAACGTAGTGGCAAACAAAATTTTCGAAAAATCGGACGCAATTGTTTTTCGCTACGGCGTTTAAGTTTCAGGTGCTCGTTGGCGTAGGTTACACCCGGTCGGGATCGAGTCGAAATACAAACCAAATACGAATTTGAGAAAAGCTTTTGCATTTGCCGCGCGCTTTAATGGCGGAAATTTTCTCGGTGACGCGTCGATCGGTTTTCCATTATGCGTTCGAGTTTGATATCGAAATTGAACAAATCGAAATGTTCGGCGTTGTTTGAAAATTTTGTGCTCATTTCCTATCAATTTAACCCCCGTCCCCCCGCGCATGGCAGTCTGGAAATGTCTTTTGCCGATGTTTCACCAAACTCAGTTTGAGAATTGTGTTTGTTTTTTATTAAAAAAAAAACGATTTTAACAAAAAAAATTCTTGATCACTTTAAAATGTGTAGTGAAATAATTTCGCAATACATTTTTCTTAAAATAATAACTAAAGTCAATTTTATGTGGGCCAATTAAGCGTGCGACAAATTGCAGCAACAAATTGCAAGATTAAAAAAAAACTGCTAGCAATAAATGTGCATGTTGTTTGACATGTTGCAAGCCTCTAGTAATGAAAACGTGACTACCAAAATTAAACAGACAACCCGAATGTAAACAGAATTGTTAATTTCAATACTCGCCACTCCGCCAGTGAAATAACTTTTCCCTTTGTATCAGGACTTTAATTGCCAAATCAAAATAGTAATGAGACGATAATAACGTTGACGTAGGGGTGTTGGGTTGGTAACACAAAAGTCACTAGATTTGTCCCCAGAATTGCAATTCAAGCTTTTTGTGTCCTTTGTGGATAATTGCTTAACCATTTAACATTTTTCTCAAAGTTGGTACCAAGTTCACTTAATTTTGGTCTATATTGTACAGGGTGTTTCGTAATAAGATTCTGTAGGATGAATTCCTGTGACGATTTTAAACAAAAAAAGTTTATATCAATGTAGGTTCACAGCCCGTTTATTGTTGATATATACGGTGTGAAAATGCAAAAAAAAAATGTTTTTTTTTATTTTCACTGCTTTATATGTTTTGTTGAAAATGGTTTATCTCGTTTCGCCAGTGGCATTACAATGAATATTTTTAATGAAAAAAATATGCCACTGCTGTAGCATCAAACAATAGAATAAAAAAAAGATTCTTTTGGCAGCGTGAAAGAAAATGGTTGTTCTCAAGTTCATACTGCCCATTTGAGATTTTTGGGCTGAAAGCTTTTGTCGGACAATGGAAAGTCCAGAGGGCATTTTGCTTAAGAAATGAATCGCAATTTTGACCTCCACGAATGTAGAAAAATAATTTTCACTCGAGAAAAAGTAACTGCATTCCGGAAGCTTCTACCGTACAATCAACAAAATATCTAAAGTAGTTAGAAATTATGAATTACCCTGTATATTCGGTGTCGTTTTGTTTGAATAAATATTACTTATTATGTTTTGTGTTCTAGTGCCCCTAAAAAAAGTGTCACTAAAATAAATACAAAATTAACATATGACCACCCTTTTGCATTTCTTTTAGTTTTCGTAGATGACATGGAAGCGATTTGTTTCCTTTTCTAAGCGCCCAAAACAATTCATTTTTAATTATTGGGAATTATTTAATAGAGTTCGTGACCATTTATCATAGTGTGCTGTGCAATTATTTAATGACGCGACTAGTAAAGTGTATTTTAATGAAAATCAAAATGCAACGTACAATTTGATTAATTTTAAAAAATTGATTATTTAAGGGTGCGTTAGTGGGGGTGGTGTCTGACCTTAATCCTAACCTCTTTTCATTTCTAATTTTGATCCTTGATTAAAAAAACGCACAAGAACTAGCGTATTAAAAGGGTGGGTGTACAAAGCTGAAGGAAAATAATGGTTGAGAACTATTTTAAACTTTCCACTTCGGGCGGTTTTCGTTTTGGTGTTAACCGACGGCAAAGGCCCTTTTCATGCTACCGCCACCGCGTTGCCACGTTCCCCACCATATGCAAGTACATATATATATTAAAAAGCCGATGTTTTTGTTTCGTTTAATTTGAAATCAATACGACTGTGAGAATTTGTATTTTACTATACTCATGCTTATCGTTTGGTTGTTTGCCTATACAACGACAGGTTAAAACGAAATTCCAGCGATTCCAGCCGCAGTTGCCAAAGTTCTGTCTCTGTTGTGTGTCTAACGTAAACGGCGCGCCCAGTATATTAATGGGAGAGAGGTAAAGTACAAACAAAATTAACGGACGACAAGCAAGTGGACTGTGTGTCGTGTCCTTTTATTTAGACTTTATTTACATTTCGCATATTATTATTATTATTATTATATAGGACGGAAAATGTTCGCATATAGATTTCGGACGTCCCGGATTTTTTGTACATTATTGGCGCTTTGCCGCGTAGAGTTTTGGTATCGTTTTGGGCGCTCGGCGTAACGCAACGTCATATCATATCGGCGTAAATTACACGGTCGAAACGTCGCGAGCGCTTAGGCATAGCGTTTTGGCGTGTTGGCGTCGTCCGGTGGGGTGTTAATTTGGATTTGTCTTCGTTAATAATAATAAAATTAGTCCCGGATTGTTTTATTTTATATTCGTGGCAGTAAAGTACACATATTATGAAAGTATTATTTATTAATTATAGTGTACAACAACTAAAACGTTACTACTCATTTCTGGCGTACTCCACAATCGTGTTGCTATGTTTTTTTGTCGGATGTGAAGTCTTTGGGGGGCAACGTCACTTCATGGGAAGCGCCATCTATTACTTGGTCACTAAACTAATACAAATGGTCTAAAGAACCCTGTAGGACACATCTCCCGTTTTTACAATAATTCAATAAATTGTATTCTTCTTTTTTAAAAATTTATTTGTCTGTATTATTTCTTGTTTTTAATATCTTGTAGAAAACAGCTAACCCAACGAATACGTAATAAACAGCCCTTGTTAGTTTAAACACAATAACTTTAGTAGAATCTTGTCAGTTCAAGTCAACTTCAATTTTATTGTTCTACGAGTTAACAACGAAGAACTGCTTAATCGTAAAGCGGCTATAAGAAATATATACACTGGGTCCCACTTAAGAAATGTACAATGAAACTTGTTTTGCTTATTGCTTCAACTTAAAATCATGGCCAACAGAGAGAGAAGAAGACTGCATAAAACCTAACTATACTAATTTACTAAGTTCGAATACAGAATGCAGAATGTTTGTTTATGGCTCAATTTTGATAAAAGACACTAACGATTTTCTTAAAGTAAAATTTGATGATTTATGATGATGATGTATTTCCCTATTAAAGAGGATTTTTATTCTCATCTAATAAATGAATATAACAAAAATACTGTTTCCTTTGTAAAACCTAGTTTGCCATAGAGAAGCGAATGCCGCTGTTTTAAGATGATACTAAAAAATAAATGTCTCTTAAAAAGTCTTTTTTAACATTATTTTTGAAATTTGTACAATTTACAAGTATCAAACTCTTGACTGGAACCTTCGGCACTGCACTAACACACAATAACGCGTTTTACCACAAACCGAAACTCAATTCTACGTACTCGACGCGCGTTTCGCCAACCAAGTTGGCATCTTCAGGAGAAGATTAAGATTCAAAACTGAATCTTAATCTTCTCCTGAAGATGCCAACTTGGCTGGCGAAACGCGCGTTTCGGTTTGTGGTAAAACGCGTTATTGTGTATTATTTACAAGGTTTACAATATTTATTTATTTTTTAATTAAAAGCGATGGTCATTGGAGTAGTTACTTTTAGTCAGTCCTGAATACCAATCTCTTGTCATTTTCAATTTGAATTTTTTTTAAAGCTTTTCCGATTTAAAAACCTGTGTCAGTTAGAAATTTCTGTTTAGTAAGATCTATCCAGTAAAAAAGAATTATCAAAATTGGGCCATAAACAACCATTCTACAGGAATAATGCTTAAGCGAACTACATGGAAAATAGTATAGTCAGGTTTTATGTAATCCTAATTAAGAATTCATTGACACTTTGTTTTTAAAGAAATCCCTAATTGCCATTCTCGATATTTAACATTAAAAATTTGTCCCGGTCGGCCATGACTTTAGGTTGATGAAAAAAAACATAAGCTTCGAGTGCATTTTTTAGGCATCTATCCAGCAAAAAAAAGGTATCAAAATCAAACCGTAATCAAAAATTCTACAAACGATGTACAGCCTTAAGCAGGGCGCAAACGATATTTCAAACTCCCCGTGTTGAAATATTATAAAAGTTGGTATAGTTAGATTACAAGTACCCCTGAATAAGAATTCGTTGCCAATTAATTTTTTTTTTCAAATCCCTAATATTACTTCTCTCTTCTCTCTCTTTTGTTGAATAGTCCCAGGTGGTCATGACTTTAAGTTGATGCAGTAGGCAAAACAAGGTTTTAGATCATTTTTCAGAGATCTATTCAACAAAACAAAGATGATCAAAATTGATCCATAAACAAAGGTGTAAGTAAATCAATAATTACTAACGAGATTATTATTTATTACAACCAATTCGCACCAAAAATTTGGAATTATGAACAAAAATATTAATAAAAAAATATATAAACAAGAGAAAAATTCTAGTCATTTCGGAGGAAAGCGCATACATTTTATGACCGAATTACAAGGTTACTAAGCCATAACATAGTGTAGGCGGCGCTGTTGGCTAAAGTACTATCGAATTGGAAGCAGTTTGAGACAGTCCAGATGTCCAATAATTTAGACCGCAGGGAACACTGTATAATTTGTTAAATTATTATATATTTTCTTTAATCTGGGATTTTCCATAAAAAGAAATCAATCAAAAAATCAAGGGTCACCATTGCAGAAGATGTATTTTAAGAAATCTTTAATAGAGTTTTGAAGAACGTTTCTTTCCACGCCGTTAGAACAATACCGTACGTGTAAATTAAACTAACGATTGAGTTTTGAAAGAATTTTTTGTTGCAAGAAGCTTTTGCTTCGGAGCTTATGCTCAGTACAGCACCTATTTCCGTAATTGTTTGCGTGGCGAATGTATTGTAAAAAAGTCTATATGGTGTGTAACCGTGTATCCATTTTCATTTTCACCAAGTAGTGTTTATATGTAAACATTTTTTTACAAATTAATAAAATATAAGCGAACATAACCTCACTTGTACGCCCCGATTATCTCTCCTCCAATTCGATGCAATCGAGGCTGAAATGTTAGTTATTAGTCACTTTCTGTATACATCTCGTATACCACATTCCTGATTTAGCTTTTTTCCATGTATATCTCAAAAGTTTGACCTTATTAACATTAAAATTATTTATCTTTTAAAATTAAATATCACACCAGATGACACATTTATTACATTCATAAGGAGCCAGTTATGACATCACCTTTAGAATTTCCGTTAATCAGCAGAACCGCCGTTCCATTAGCGCTAATTACATTTATTGGAACGGAAATTTCCAGTAGATTGCTTGTCACGGGGACTTCTTTCTCTTGATATAAAATTTTGGTCTTGTTTCCATTTGGGGTCACTCTTTACTTATTAAGGTGACAAACGCCTATAGGAAGGAAGTCGTTCGAGTCGGTAACCTTAAGTTCTCGCCTATGGTGCGTAATATACTCTTTGATCCTTCGAGCCGGATCTCCAAAAAATGCTTTTTTTTACTACGGAGCGTCGGATAAATGGTATAAACCACACTTCAAATCCAAATTATCACTTCGTGTAGCAGATCGCGTTAATGCGTCAATCACCAGGCGTTAATGGCGAAAACTTGGCGATCAGACTGATAATCAGCGCACTGCGAAACACCCGAACTTGCGAATATTTCTGTAGAAATTTCGACTAACGTTTGCTCTTTTTTTTCTCTCTTTCTTTTTTGCTCTGTCCCAACCGGATCTGGCTCGCTCCGTTACCCATCCATGTCCCCCCGTTGTCCGATCCAATCCCGTAGGCTTGTTATTTGAAAGCGATCGAGACCAGGCCCGACTTCGCGGTCGCCTGGAGCAATCTGGGGTGCGTGTTCAACGCCCAGGGCGAGATATGGCTCGCCATTCACCATTTCGAGAAAGCCGTGGCCCTGGACCCGAACTTCTTGGACGCCTACATCAATTTGGGCAACGTGCTCAAAGAGGCCCGAATATTTGACCGGTGAGTGACTCTTTTGATTGTGTCCTTTATTATTTATGTCTAGTATCCAATCCTAAAATGTGTACAGCAAAAACAAACACCGTAAGTGTAGAAAACATGTTTTATAAATTTCCCTTTGGGATTTATGTCTTCACTAAATGTGAAAAATCAAATTGGAAGATGGTATGTAGAGTAATACGGAAAGTATAACGTTACGTGAATCTAATTTTAAGCTGAGTGGAAGAACAATTTGTGATAAGGGGCGGAACTTTGGTTATCTCGGGGGATACAGAAGTTTCGAATATCTACTACTCTACCCCAATGAACCAGCTTAATCGTTGATAAATATTTTTTTTTGCGTTGGCAGATATCAATGTTCTTAATATTAATATAGGATTAATAAATATAATATAGAATTTATAAATTTTTCTAAATTTTTAAGATATACTTGAAATTATGGTTGTGGAATTGACCGGGTCATTTTTCCTTGAGTCAGTTGCCCGAAATAATTTTAAAGATACAACAAAATTGATATTTATTTATTTATGTTGTGGGTATTCGTTGAACAGGTAAATTGCAAACGCACAGAGGCGTAATAATTTATTTTAAAGTACATGTTATTATTAAATAATACTCTGCCATTGCAAGATGTTATTTTTATCGATTTTAACTGGGTAATTAAGAAGTGGTCAATTGATAAGTTCCAACACTGATGCCTCTTTTTACTCACTTCCACAAGTCGTTTCTAGTCAAGCTAGTATTTTTCTAGCGGATTTCTTGGGCTAAGAGTTCAGCCCGTTTTATAGACATTTTGGCTCATTCTCTCTCTATATAGATACGTTATAACCAAAGGATGGGAGATTTATTCATTAATTGAGTGGACTCCTGCAACCAACATAATGAAATCTTCATGAATGAAAACTGACTCTCCAAAAAAACAGTTGATTTGAATTGTTTTGTCCGAACTTTTCATTCATTAATAAGATCATTTATTTATTCGTTGATTCATTCATTGCGTTCTGGTTTATAGTATCACAAAAATTTTGCATGATTTATAAGTAAATCGCCGACGTACTAATATCGAGAATAGCAAATTTGTGTGATCTAAATATAACATTTGATAGATATGTTATTTACCAGTCAAGTCAGATTGTAAGGAATATTAATAATATACATCCCTCGAGGAAGGGAATCGATAGCGGCTCACGAGCCAAGTGGGTCGCAAATAACCTTTTCGTTATTTATGAGATTTTCGTGATTTTTTTCACAAATCCGTGATCCATTATCTGCGATTTTGTCATTTCTCATTGGTCGCGTATTGTTGCTTTTAAAAATGTGTCGTGGCGTCTTCTCGGATTTTGCATTTTTTTGTATTCATAAGTTATTTTTTAATAAATAAATAACTTGCATCGCCCGCTGTAATATGCCTTGCCCGAATATCAGAATGAGACCACAGTTATAGTATGACCATGGGTCTATCAAACTCTATTAATATTACGAAAGAACCCAACGGTTGGCGGAAAGAAGGCAGAGACGGGCTCGTTGTTGATAGAATGAAATGTAGCTCGGCTACCTCTGTTATTCACCGACATTATTATTGTTATAAATTTTATATTGAATAGGAGGACCATAACTTCTCAAATAAAAAATGTGTGTGCTTCTCTATCCTGCGTGTCTAGTTTAGAGAGATTATGTACATTTTTATTTTATCTACACCATTATAAAGAACGCAAATATTTAACGATCATTAACGTTATCAAAAATTTCGATCGTAATTATTCCCATGAGGTTTATGGTAGTGTTAAGTGTACCTAACGTAATTATATCAGCCATTTTTACGCTGATGGCGGCAGAGAACAATCAATTTTATTTATTTCCAAAGTGTTTTTTCAAAACTTTTTTTTATTACCGTACCGAGGGATTGTTTTTTGTTTTTTTTTTGTATTTTTATTTCACTAATTTCCATGAAAAATATTTTCTTGCACTATCTCTGTTCTAAAGTACCCTTTCAAGCGCTTGCAAAGTGTCTCTTTAAGATTAGCTTCGTTAACCACTGTCTCTTCACTTTTGACGTTTCCGGAACTTTAGTCACGGGTTTGGAAGCGATTGGATGTTTTCGAAAGATTTTAATCACTTGTCGTCACATGCTATTTTGCAAAATGATACCCAACTAACCAAAACTAATGGTCTTTTAAAAAGTATAGTATATGTGTTGCGGCGAAAGTGTTTAGAGATTAGCTGAATAGAATTCAAACTATCCAAATATCTGATTATTTTAATGGACATTATATGAGTTAATTATTATGTATCATTGGGAATATTAAGTTCATATGTTATTCACTTGCTGTGGATAGTTTGTAAAGTAGTCAAAAACACCGGTTAATTTTTATACTTATTTTGTGTTTTATACTTTTGCTGTAAATTTTGCATAACACACCAATATTCGTGGTTATTTTCGTAGAAATGTGATTTTTCATCAAAATTAACAGTTACCCGTAACATACAGGCCTGTGAAAAAGTATAAACGCATACATATTTAAAGATTTCGTTTAAAATCAATTGAAGATTTCTGAAAATAGTTTAGGTGCATAAATAGTACACTGAAATAAAGGTCTTAATATATTACATACATTAATTTTTACTGTGACAAAATTATAACCTCACTGCTTATATTTATCATTGTCTTATTATTTCGTCTAACCACCTTTATTTTTTATAACTCCATGCTATCGATTAACTCTTTAAGCGTATTAGATGAAATTTTGGCCCATGTTGGTCACAGTTTTTGAGTTCATTGACATTATTTATTTTTGTCTTTTCCCGATCATATGATTTACTTGTTAATATCCCCCAGACGTAGGTCTGGACTAACTGCTGACAATTCTAATAACTGGATACCAAAGTCTTGTTTTGTAGTTGCAGCTACATGGTTAGGTGAGTTGTACCTTCAGTCAGCGTAATGAATCGATTTTTAAAGAGGTACATCTGGTCTGGTCTAGACCATAACTGAACCTCCTCCTTTAATTCTTGGAAACATATTTTTTCTATTAATTCTCAAATGATGCTTATAGTAAAGCCATATACGGCCTACATAGCTTACATAGCCCCACCGAAAGTAGTCTAGCGGTGTTAAATCACGAGCTGTGTGACATTTTGCGCCGTCTTGTTGAAACCACATCTCCTGGCCATCATGGTTATTCAATTCTGGAATGAAAGAGTTAGTAATCATAGCTCTACACCGATCACCATTGACTAACGTTCTGGCCATCATCGTTTTTGACGAAGTACGGACCAATGAAAATTGGGAACAACGGCAATCTCGTTTTGGGCCCATTTGCAAGCATTGTTCAGGCGTGAGTCTATTCATGATGAATTGCCAAACCAAACTGAGAATAAATCACTTGACAGCTGTTAAATCGATTGCCATCTTGAACAGTAATGCCAACTTAAAGTTCTATACATCGAAAAAAAAACACCCATTACTTACATCCATCGGGACCATCAAGATTGAATTTATTTCCATCACTAAATATGACATGTTGCCAAAGTTACCTTTTGTTACATATTTTTCAAAACTGGTTTACTAAGACATTTATTGATATTTGAAATGTTTTGATTCAGCTGCCCACTTTCTCACTAAATTTTATGTACAATACATTGATAAACTTCAGTTTTTCGTTTCTTAAACAATCGCTCAGCTCGTGATTAAAGTGGCGTTTATCAAACTTGTTGCACAATGTACAATTTCAGCTTTTTCGAACCCCTTTAAAATAAAGTTCGACCTGAAGAAATTCGCCAAAGCAGATTTAGCGGAACTCCAATGTTTTCAAATCTGATGTTAACATGTCGGTCCAAATTTTTTGTTGTTGATAGGAGGCTCCACGTCGGCGGTATTTTATCGGAGATTGCCGTCTTTTACTGTTATTACGCGAAGTCTCGGAGCCCATAGGCAATAAAACCATATATATACATATATAAGGGTAAATTCTTTGCCTAGTTCGATAACTTTGGGAATACGGCCGAAATAGAGTTTTCCGGTGGAATTTTAGGACACGTTACTAATGCAAAACTACGTTTGAATAAAAATTTAAAGATGCAGTATTTGGAAAGAAACTAACACTAAGAAATCAATCTGTGACAGATAAAGGTTATAATTTTCGCTTGGTCATTTTAAAAGTATTAATCAAACATGTTTTTGGAAAACTGAATAGGAATAGTGTTTGACTTGATAAATTGGGGCAGCAAAAGTTTTATAATTTGCTGCCGTTAACCCAGCAGGATGGCAGGTAATTGCAACAAACAATGTTATTTTTAAACTTTAAACTCAAACCGTAAATACCCGTATGCCACTTTGTATGTTTTGATATGTAATTAAAGTTTTTCGTTAATCTCGAGTTCAGCTAGGCTTGAGAATTATTCTTTGCACCTTTTCTCGGCTTGAATTTCGTCCCGTATACCCGTTTCGGTTATTACAACAGAATTTGAAAAAAAAATTGTAGGGCGTTTATAATCAACAATAAACTACAATAATCCATGTATACTGTTTGAAAAAATTCTTCCATTAATTTGTTATTATTATTTGTTATTATATTTCGCTCAGAAGATAAAATATTATTTCAAAAAACACGTGGAAATTGATTTTTCGAGAAAGATAACGTCCACATATTTCTAGTTTTATTTATCAAATTCAATTTAACCGAAATGAAAATGGCGTTTTTTAGTTATTGTTCTGTCTATCTTTTTAAAATTAAATGTATTGGCCAGATCACATTTCTCCAGCATTTTATGCTGTATAGTTGTATAGCAAAGTTTAACAATCTCATTTTAGAATTACATATTTGACGACGTTGTTCTCTGCAGTCATTTTTTTCACGTTGACATTGACAATAACACGGCGTATGGTGGTACTTTGCAGATTTTTTCTATGTGCTTTTTTAAGGAATTAATTTTTTAAAATCAGTTTTCGCGCAAAACGTTTACCTTCTGAGTGTAAACTTTTAGTTGCCCAACAACTCACATTA